GTTGGTATTCTAAATAATTTTTGTTTAGTAACGATTTTAATTTAGTGCAGGTTTTTTGAGAGAATTTGACATTGACAGGAATTTTGTGTTTAATGGCTAGTTTTGTACAAGTGTGGATAATTTTTGAGCTGGTTTCAGGGACAAAAGGTAAACTGTAGTGTAATGTTCTGTTGTTGGGTTTGTTAGTATCAATTTTGTTCGTGAGTTGAGTTTTGTTGTGGGGAATGTTGGGGAGTTTTTCAAGAAAAGCTGGTGGAAATTTATTGGTGTGAATGAAGGGATGCTTTATGTGGTTGATTTCTTCATTTATGTAGTCCGTTGAACAGAGTCTTATAGCTGTGTTTATGAGGTTTTTGAGTGTATTGATTTTTTTTTTGTGGTGTCATGAGCGGAATTCCAGGGGATGTAGAAGCCGGTGTGTGTGTTCTTACGATGAATTTTGATTTTAAACTCTGTGTCCAAACTAATAATGTTGAGGTTAAGACAAGATAAATGATTATTGTTTTCATGTTCTATGATAAATTTTATGTTGGGATGAATGAATTTATGTGTTCAAAGAAAGTTAGTGTGTGTTCTGTAGAAGTGAAACCAGCAAAAGTGTCGTCGACGTATCTGTACCAGTATAGTGGAGGATGAAGCGCAGAATGTATGGCTTGTGTTTCGATCTGGGTCATAAATGTATTGGCAAGAACGGGAGAAACAGGATTGCCCACACTTAAACCATCTATTTGAAGGAAATGTTTGTTGTTGAAAATGAAGTTGGTTTTAGTCGTTGTAAATTCTAAGAGAGAAACAAAAAATGTGCTGGGGATGTGCATTAATTTGTTGGGGTTATTAATGTAGAGGTTGAGTGCAACATTGCAAGCTTCATTTGCGGGGACTTGGGTGAAGAGTGACACGACATCAGAACTAGCCATTAAGGCTTTCGAATTTAGTTGGTCTAGTGTATATTTGAAATTGAAGGCATCTTTAAAAATTAACCTGCAGATGTTACATATGGTGTGAGAGCCAAGGCTATGTATTTGCCAAGATTGTAGTTGAAGGAATCATAAGTGGACAGTATATGTCGTAGGGGCAGTTCTGTTTGTGTGGTTTATGAATGCCATAGAGTTGTGGTGTGCGTGAACCAGTTTTACGTAGATATAAATAAAGATCGTCAGTAATTAAATTATCTTTTTTCTCAATTGTAATAAAGTTCTGTTTAGTTGTTTTTCGTGTGTGTTTGTTGGGTTGCTTGGGATGGCTTTGAATTTCTTTTTATCGGAAAGGATGTCGTTCATTTTGTCGATGTATTCTGAATTGTTCATGATGATAGTGGTGTTGCCTTTATCAGCTTTTGGAATTTTAATGTTAGTGTCTTTTTTTCAGATTATAAATGGATTTGATCTCGTTACTTGTGGGGGTACTTTTCGGTTTACAGGATTGGTTGACTATATTAATAGTCTTGTTCGAGAATTTTTTAGTTATTTAAAGTTATTTAAAATACAGTTTTTGGGAACTTCGGGAACTACATTTTGTTGTACTTGCAGCTCGAACAACAAAATAAACAAGAAGAGAAATTACAGCAGTTGTTTGAGGAAAAAGAAAAGAAACAAGAAGAGAGACAACAGCAGTTGCAAGAAAATCTGCAACAGTGGCAGCTTGAACAACAAAATAAACAAGAAGAGAAATTACTACTTTTGTTAGAGGAAAAAGAAAAGAAACAAGAAGAACGAGAAATTAAACAAGAAGAGAGATTACAACAGTTGTTGGAGGATAAAGAAAAGAAACAAGAAGAACGATTACAGCAGTGGCAACTGGAACAAGAAAGGAAGCAGGAAGAAAGTCAGCAGCAACTACAGGAAAATCAACAACAATGGCAAGAGGTACAAATGGAAAACATTAATAAATTTAAAAGCGAATTAGATTTCACAAGAGGAGGTTACATTGACCATCGACTTAATCAGCCCCAGACAATGA